TAATCGTGCCTGCGAACTCTATCGAAACAACAAGATGGAGGAGTTCAACGCACAGGTCAACGAGGTCCGGGACGAAGTCAGCAAAGTCGTCATCCTGAATGATGAGACATGGGAAGGACTGAGGTGCCGGATATGTCCATCATGTGCGACCGCGATCCCCACCTGCTTCTGCTTATGCCTGGAGTGCGAGGCACAACTGATCTCCATCGGAAGATACTACATCCACATCAACTCCGATGACGAGGAGGACAACCAAAACCCCAACGTCTCTGGAGATGCCAGGCGTGCACAGGAAGAAGCTAACCACGATGCGGCAGCACAGGAGGATGAAGACGAAGCGGAGGAAGTTCCGGGAGAAGATGACGACATGGACACGCAAGGATATACATCCGGCTATGCGTCAGAAGAAGAAGACAGCGGTTGGCATTACCGCGACACCGATCTGGCGTCACGGGACATTATAAGTTCCCAACGGATGGCGATCTGCCTTGACGAGCCGCGTGAGGCTCAGTACATGGCAGGATTTATCGCACTCCAGCTGTCCAAGATGTGGGGGATGTTTGAAGGTGGTGAGGAGAGAACGATGAATGCCGGACTCGAAGGGAGGCCGGGCTGCCCTTATCACAATGACTTCAAGAGGTACCCCAACATCACCGATCAGGATCAGGAAGGTATACTCTTACCATCAACAGCGAAGAAAATTTCTCAGTCGGAGAATGTTCGGTCGAGATCCTTCCGATCGGTTGAGGAGCGTGAAGATTATATTCGTATGATGGTGTGCAAATGCGAGGGACTTTACACATTCTACAAGCTGTGGATTGCAGCGAGAATCCTCGATGTCACCAAGGAAGAAATGAAGCTCCTGGTCAAGGACCGAGTGCACCCGGTGGGTGATATTATTTTCAGATGTTTTGCACTAGCTTTCAACTGTAAGTATATATCATTCGTGAGGGATGGCCTGAACCTTGGCAAGAATGGTTACACGGTCAACGTGAGCGCCATCATCTCGGCCATCGACCCGAACAAATGCGACACACCCCTGCTGGATTGGTGCCTTCGGAAAGGGCACTGGTTGCCAGAGGACTACAACAAGAAGTGTGTCCGGGCACGAGAAGCCCAGAAGAACTTGGACGAGGAGTTCCGCCGACGTACCCATAGGCTGTCCATTGGGGACAGGTATGCTTCGTGAAGATGCTGATTGCGGTACGATGTGGGTCAGTCCCCATCTGTTACTTGCGTCACATCGACACTGTTTCGGTGGAACGACTTATGTCATGATTTATATTCATGTGTCCAAGATGATTGGGTGTGTACATGGTTACATATTCCGATGACTATGACGCTCTGGATATTCATGGATGGAACTATTACCTTATAGATGATATCTTTTCATTATTTATGCATTGTCCATGGTATCTGGAATGGCTATGATTTGCATTGATTACTCACCGATGTTTCTTTGCCGGAAATATGCAGACCGATTACGAGCAGGCGCCTCTGGTGGACTTTTGCGGCCAACCCATTTATGGATGACAGCTGCGCGATGCGCAAATGCGGCAGCTGGATTGTTCGTTGGTGGTCAAATGACGTGACGATTGTGTATTATATACACCTGCATATGGATGTGTGCTTCGATTGGAGGATGAATGTTTCACTTTTCGTACAATCGAACCCGGCATGTTTCACAGCGAATGAACGGTGTAGTGATAGCAAGTAAAAGAATGCACGACACGATTTCGTAGTTGAAGCCGTGGCCAGTGGAACGTTTTGTGGTGTTTGGACCGCATGATGAACAATGCGACCCAAATGGGGGATGTTAAAACCCTCTAGGCCCCGTGCCGAAATTGGGTAGCTGTTCTGAGGTCCTTGTTGGTGTTGCTTCCCAAGTTCCATTGATCGCCATTTGGCTCAAGACACAATTGAGGTTCAAGATCTGATGTGTGACTGCATACATACGTGATCGGCATTGAGAGCGGAAAACACTTCGCTTGCGCTGCATTTGTCAGGACCACTGTTGTAACTATCATTCCTTCTCCCTTACAACGTTTACACGGGTTCGGCTATAACGGCATCGTCCGTATACACCTTTCTACGTGGTTGGTATTACAGCTTGAGGGTTCGGTGCATAGCGTCCCACGGGACGTCACCTTGCCGTCTCTTGACAGATACCGATACAATTCGGTATGATTCAAAACGATTTGCAGCGATAGTCTTCGATATGTGAGGTTGCGATACTTGCTTTTCGATACCGATAGCTCGCAATACGCAACGATACGATTCGGTATGTTGTAGTTGTATTGTTGAAACGACCCTGATCACTACGGCTGCGGGCCTGCAGATGGAGGGTATCCATCCCGCGTGCGTTTCTGCTGTGTATGATGTTTTTACCGCACAAGACGTCACAGACTTGGTCACAAAGGCGCTGCCTAACTGGGACAAGGCCCCAATTGAAGTGCCATCTGACACTAGGAAGCCCTGCCACTTGCCCGCTGACCTGCAGAAAGCTCTCGCGTAACCCGTCAGGTTGAGGCCTCCCAAGGGCTGGGTGACGTCCAGGATGTCGTGTCGGATGATGACGCACATGGACGGGACTGAGGGAGAGCTGGCCTCAGACACCCCCCCCGCTGGTGGCTCCCGGTGGTGTCGTCTGCTGCACCCATGAAGTAGATGAGAGCGATCTTGCCCCTGATGAGGTGGCGGAAGCCCTTGCTGCTCTGCGTCAAGCCGGTCTTGACCAGATTGACACGGGCTCTGAGACGGAGGGCTCCACCCCGGAACCCGCACCGGTTGTCGACCGTGCTCCTTGCAGGCGGTGGATGCGGTTAGCGTCTCTAGCGCAGAAGAATACCAGGAATGTTTACCCGCCAGGGAGGAGGAAGCCCAGCAGCTGGGCTGTGCGACCACATTCCGTCCTGGACGGGCGGACTGCCCTGTTGGCCGGGCCATCAAGACGATGCAGAAATTGACGATGACCTTGACCCAGACAGCTTGAGCGCCCTTGATGTTTGCCACCCGCCTGTCATCCATCCCTGACATGACCCAGGCCAAGGATGCGCTCACCTTGCATCAGCTGGGTCTTTTCGCCCAGCTGCCCACTAGTTATCCGTGATGTCATGTTTAGCACACCAAAGCCGGCCTCGCTCCTTGCCAAGGTCTTTGCACCCCTGGCCGGCGGTGATGCCCCGCTCAGATTGCAGCAGTTGATGCTTGATCGGTTAGCGCAACCGCAATTCTGGGTGGCAGCCCTCACCATTGCCACCCGCCAGCATGCCCAATTGCTGCTAGCCGGTGATGCACTTGAGGAGCTTGAGGCGGGTGATGACTCCCTTGCTACCGGTGAGCAAGTCGTCCAATGGTATGGCCGTGCTGGCCCTTGTGATTGGCCTCTCCATCGCATGAAGGTGCATGTCCCTACTCCATCTTTGCGCACATTCCCCCCAGCCTGAGGAAGGTGGGGAGAAGTCTTGCTCAAGGACAAAGTGCAAACAGTGCGTGGTGTTCGTTTCGTGAATGCAGGGGGGTTTAAGTCCTCACACACCCCGCCTTGCTTTTCTGACGTTGAGCCCCACAGGCTCCACCTGCTACAACAACTGCAGAATGGGAGGGGCTTGGACTTTTGACGTTCAGGATTACTGTGGCTTGGTGGGGCAGCTCGGGTCCTGCACCATTCGGACCGACCCGCTGAAGCCGCGAAGTTGTCCCTGCGGCTACAGGTGATGCCTGCGAGCCGGCTAATTCATGCATGCCTTTTGCTTGTCGCCTCGGTGGCATTTTTGCCCTAATTCATGCACGTTTCAGTGTAGTCTCTTTGCATATGCTCCTCTGCATGACCATGTACGGGGGTTAACGATGCGCAAATGTGCCCCCGGCAGAGTGTAGTGCGCTCCGCAAGTGAACCATATGGTCTGTGCCCCGCTCAGCCTCATGGTTCTCTTTCGCGCGTAGCCAGTGCGTTTGGTGCCTTTCTTTCCGCCCGTAATTAATTTCAACATGCACTTCCGCGTGCTGGCGAAATCCCTTTCTGCTCTCGGTTTGTTTGTTTTGGCTGTTTTTGTTTGGTTTGGTTCTGTTCGTTTGTTTGGCTCCTCTGTGGCCTGTCCTATTTCGCCGGCTTTTTCAAGTGACGTCTCACCATCTGTTTCACCTCTCCTTCTTAGTGTATTTTAGCAGGTTTCGCGACCGATGGCAATTGCCTCAAGGCGTGCGGGCGACAAAAAAAGCATGGGCATGAGTGATAACTGAAACGTCAACACCAGCTGCTTGCACCTTTTCACCATTCAGAGCAAGCACTTGCCCCCAAATATCGTTGGGTCAAACAAACAATGATGCATGTCAGATGGCACCCGCACGCATCCGCCGGTGTTTGCACCAGCAAATGAAACCCCCAGAGTGTGCGCTGCGTTCTTGGTTCTCCACACAATCCTACAGGTGACCGAGCCCACAACCCACTGCAAGTGTGCACAAGCAACAGGCCAGTGCAATGGCATTGATTAAAATCCATAGGCGTTGTCCTGCACAACATCGACTCCGAGATCGCTAAGATGTTCAAGGGCTGCCGTGCGCCCAAAGCCAAAGCAAAGGCTGCGCAAGCAACTGCAGCTGCGCAAGCTCCCCCGCCTCGTCCTCGCCCATCTCTTAAGATTCTGCTCGTCCATCTTCTTCTACTTGCCCATCTCCTTCTGCTCGCCCACTCGTTCTGCTCGTCCGTCTCCTTCTGCTCGCCCATCCTTCTGCTCGCCCATCTTCTGCTTGTCCATTTCCTTCTGCTCGCCCACTTCCTTCTGCTCGCCCATCTCTCCCTCTTCTGCTCACCCATCTCCTTCTGCTCGCCGATCTTCTGCCGTTTCTTCTTCCATCTCCTTCTGAATGCCCAACTTCTGCTCCTCCATCTCCTTCTGCTCGTCCATCTTCTTCTGCTCGCCCATCTTCTTCTGCTCGCCCATCTCCTATCTCCTTTTGCTCGCCCACCTTCTGCTCGTCCATCTCCTTCTGCTCATCTCCTTCTGCTTGCCCATCTCCTTCTGCTCGTCCATCTCCTTCTGCTCGTCCGTCTCCTTCTGCTCGCCCATCTCCTTCTGCTCGCCCATCTTCTGCTCGATCATCTCCATCTGCTCGTCCATCTCCTTCTGCTGCCGCACGGACACGCTGTCCTGAATAGGAGGTAAAATCTAGCAAGACACGCGCTCCTCAAGGTGCGACGCATGCATGCAACACACCAAGCACAGCGCCAGTTCTTGCCGCATTTCAATGAGCTCATCCAGCTCCTCCCGCAACTGCAGGAGCTGAAGTCCATGAGCTGCTGCAAAACCTCCAGATCAGTCTGCATGTCCTTTGTCTGCTCACCTCCTTAAGAAACCCATGTGAACATTCACACTTGTCCATGCATGCATGCATGCTGCCACCCGGTCCTGCCGGGGTTGATGGGGCTGACACTTTCTCACCACTCATGCTGGGCTGTCACCTGCCATGACCCCTTGCTTTGCAGCCTCAGCACCTGGGCAAAGCAAACATGGGCAGGCTGAAAGATGTGGACGCAAGCACGCGACTGTGCTCTGACCCAGGCTTGGTTTCCTGGCCTTCAAACTCTCGCTTGTGCAACATGCCCACGAATGCATTCCATGCATGGCATCAGCTGATCACACACTCATGTTGACACACATGACAAGCATTGCACTCACTAGTTGTTTAGCCTTGCATGCATGAGTGAATGGCACACATGCATGAACAGGCATGCATGCATGACTGGAAATGCATGCATGAACAACATTCATGACATGTCATGCAGAATGGCAAACGTGCATGTGTCTTGAAACTGGCATGGTTGCGTGAATGCAGTGGGCTGAGTCCACATGCGCCACCATGCCTGTGCCAGGCGGCGATGGCAGCGATGTTGCAGCCTCATCACCTGGCCAAGGCATGTGGCTGTCAGTAGCCTAAGGCGCGTGAGATGAGTTCAAGGCTTGGGGCCAGCTCAGGCACTGCGTGCCCCTCCAACAGATCTGCATCACCTGCCAACTTTACAACAAACATGCATGCGCAGGTGTGCGCCCTCACGTGTGTGTGTGCATTGCTTCAAACATGCATATGCACGGCTAGGTGCCGAATCCTCAGAGGACTCAAGCTCGCTACTGCTTCCTTCATCACAGAGGCGCTCACCGGGTTGGCGGCGGAAAGAACCGTCTCTCGGCGATGATCCGTCTCGGACGACACATTTTTTATTCACAGGAGAGGCGCTCACCGGGTTGGCGGTGGAAAGATCCGTCTCTCGGCGATGATCCGTCTCGAACCAGGACATATTTTTTTATTCTCAGGCGAGGCGCTCGCCGGGTTGGCGGTGGAAAGAACCGTCTCTCGGCGATGATCCGTCTCGGGTGGAATCGAGCCTGTGGCCTCCTAGCTTCAGAGCTGCAACGCCTCTTCCGATTGAGCTATGGATCCTTGCTACACCTGGATTTATTCCCAGGAGAGGCGGTCACTGGGCTGGAGGTGGAAAGATCCGTCTCGGGGATTTGTTCCCAGGAGAGGCGCTCACCGGGCTGGAGGGTGGAAAGATCCGTCTCATTTTCCCAGGAGAGGCGGTCACCGGGCTGGTGGTGGAAGGCGCTCACCGGGCTGGAGGCGGGAAGATCCGTCTCGAAAATTGCTTGTTCCCAGGAGAGGCGCTCACCGGGCTGGAGGTGGAAAGATCCGTCTCGAAAATTTCTTGTTCCCAGGAGAGGCGCTCACCGGGCTGGAGGCGGGAAGATCCGTCTCGAAAATTTCTTGTTCCCAAAAGAGGCGCTCACCGGGCTGGAGGTGGAAAGATCCGTCTCGAAAATTTCTTGTTCCCAGGAGAGGCGCTCACCGGGCTGGAGGTGGAAAGTGTTCCCAGGAGAGGCGGTCACCGGGCTGGAGGTGGAAAGATCCGTCTCGGGGAATTTCCTATTCCCAGGAAATGAAAAGATCCGTCTCGAAAATTTCTCATTCCCAGGAGAGGCGGTCACTGGGCTGGAGGCGGAAAGATCCGTCAAGGGTCGTTGGGCGAACCCGTACTAAGGGTCGTTGGGCGAACCCGTACTAAGGGTCGTTGGGCGAACCCGTACTAAGGGTCGTTGGGCGAGCCAGTACTAAGAGTCGTTGGGCGAGCCAGTACTCAACCACTTTCACAGTGGCCCCGCTTGGCACTGTGCCCGCTCTGCCCGCTCGGCACTGCAAGTGCCCGCTCGGCGCTGGCACTCTTACGGTGCCCGCTCGGCGCCGTAGTGCCTACGGTGCCCGCTCGGCACCCGGTGCCTGCTCGGCGCAGTGCCCGCTCGGCACGTCCTAGTGCCCGCTCGGCACTGCCCCGCCTCCCCCCAGCGCCGCGAAGTTCTCCAGGATGTACAGCTGACAGGAGAAAAAAAACGGGGGGGGGGAGGGGGAGGGGCACTTCACGGGGCTGAGCCACATGACATGCAAACATGCAAAACCGTGCAAGCTGTTCCACATGTCAAAATCATGTCGTGCAAAAAACAAGCTGTTCCACATGTCATGTCACGCAAAAAACCGCACCATGCAAAACCCATGCAAAAACCATGTCAAAAACCATGCAAAATCGTGCGAAACAAGAATGCGCGCGGCGCGTTCTATGCCGGGCAAGGGGCGCGGCCGGGTGGAGGCTCCGATGCCGGGCAGGTGGCGCGGCAGGGCTTCAATGCCGGGCAGGTGGTGCGGCAGGGCTTCTATGCCGGGCAGGTGGCGCGGCAGGGTGGCGCAGTGCCAAGCCGCCGTATGACCGTATGACCGTATGATCCGTATGATCCGTATGATCCGTATGACTCGGCGGGCTGGCGTGCTCCGATGCCGGGCAGGTGGCGCGCCAGGGAGGCTTCTATGCCGCCGGGCGGCCTTGCCATTCTTGAGGCAATAATGAATCATCTTGAGTCAATATTGCCTCAAGAATGGCAAGGCCACCTTTTTTGTAGAGGGAGCTCAAGAGCACACTTGCGCTTCTTTGCAGAGCACACTTCTTTGCAGAGCACGCTTCTTTGCAGAGCACGCTTCTTTGCAGAGCACACTTCTTTGCAGAGCACGCTTCTTTGCAGAGCACGCTTCTTTGCAGAGCACTCTCCTTCGCAGAGCACTCTCCTTTGCAGAGCACGCTTCTTTGCAGAGCACTCTCCTTTGCAGAGCACGCTTCTTTGCAGAGCACGCTTCTTTGCAGAGCACGCTTCTTTGCAGAGCACGCTTCTTTGCAGAGCACGCTTGCGCTTCTTTGCAGAGCACTCTCCTTTGCAAGAGCACTCTCCCTTGCAGAGCACGCTTCTTTGCAGAGCACGCTTCTTTGCAGAGCACGCTTCTTTGCAGAGCACTCTCCTTTGCAGAGCACGCTTCTTTGCAGAGCACACTTCTTTGCAGAGCACGCTTCTTTGCAGAGCACTCTCCTTTGCAGAGCACACTTGCGCTTCTTTGCAGAGCACTCTCCTTTGCAGAGCACGCTTCTTTGCAGAGCACACTTCTTTGCAGAGCACTCCTTTGCAGAGCACTCTCCTCTGCAGAGCACGCTTCTTTGCAGAGCACGCTTCTTTGCAGAGCGCGCTTCTTTGCAGAGCACGCTTCTTTGCAGAGCATTCTCCTTTGCAGAGCACGCTTCTTTGCAGAGCAGGCCAAGCTCTCTCTTTAGAGGGGCCAGGAAACCTCGTCCTGCGAAGGATTCGAAACCTAAAACGCTGCGTGCAGGCGTGTGGCTGCAATATAACGACCCCGAGATATGCGCCGCAATTTGGCTCCAGGTTGCATTTCAAGCGAGGTCAAGCTTTGCCAAAGGAAACCCCTTTTCCCTTTTTTTCGGGACCCCGTGTTGGAGGCGAAGAGCTGCGGCGCGGAGACCGTGCCCGAGCTTGCACGTCGCCGCAGACCACGCTGCCCGTCGACACTCCGCCGCTCGTGGCAGCGGGCCCGTGGAGGTGCACCAGCGCCTCGTCGTTGATCATGATCAGCTCGCACTGGTGCGTCGATGCTTTGGTGGTTCAACCGCTGCTGCTGAAGCGCCAGCGGGAACTGGAGGAGGCGTGGGCCTTCAACAACTGGCTGGGGGAGCGCAGGCTGGCCCAGGAGGGGCAGCGGCACCTGGACGACGTGAGCCGGCTGGCGGAGGCAGTGCACCGCCAGGTACCAGCTGCGCTACGGCGGGCTCTCTCTTTAGAGGGGGTTTCCCAAATGCATTCTATTCTATCTTATCTGACAGGCTCCTAGCACTCGTCCGTCCAGGAAACGACCTCGTCCTGCAAAGGATTCGAAACCTAAAACGCTGGCTGCAATATAACGACCCCGAGATATGCGCCGCAATTTGGCTCCAGGTTGCATTTCAAGCAAGCCAACCTTTGCAAGGCTGAGAAAAAACAAAAAAAAAGAAAACAAGGGGTCCCAAAAAAAGGCGGGGCTCGATGGACATCGTCTTGCCTTTATACCAGTACGCTCGCGCCTGCCGTCAGGCGGTCGACTGCCTCTCCAACATGCGCGCGGCGCGCTCGCTTGGCCGAGGCGCTTCTTTGGGCTTGGGCCGCTCGGGCTGTACCTCGGGCTCTAACTGTGGTGCCTGCCTTGGTGCTGCCCTGGGCATGGGTGCTGCCTTGGGTGCTGCCTTGGGTGCTGCCTTGGTCATGGGTGCTGCCTTGGGAATTTCTGCTTGCAGACAATACTTTCTCTCTAGCTAAGCCAAACAAGGCTCCTGTGAGCCTGGTCTGTGCGGCATGCTTTTTGTGGCGTCGCAGTTTGGATTCTTATGTGAAATGTGGACGTTGTCTATGCACATTTGAACACATTGGTGTTTCAGTCGCATGCTGTGAGATGTGTCTGCTCTGTGTGTAGTTCGTTTTCCGTTTTAATTTTGCTGTCATCAGGTGACTTCGCAATGTTTCATGTCTGGAAACATTGCGGCTCTAAGGGTGTGGTGGGCGGGTAGGCCTTCAATCTTTGGAGATCCTGTGTAGTCGGGGGTTTTGCCATGGTTTTTCGCTATGCTGGATGACACAGGAGCTGATTCCTTAGATGTTGGCCAGGAGGCAGGTCTGGACTTGAGAGGGTATCGCAGTCGGGGAGAACTTCGGCCGCTGCCGATTGCAAACCAGACTCTGCTTCCGTTTCTAGAGAGCAGTGCAGATGATTTGGGTGATGCGTCAGTTCAGTTTTTGCCATCTGTCACCTTAGAACCTCCTACCCTACTTGCTGAACAGCCTGTTTCTCAACCGCAACTTTGGCTGGCTGTTTTGGATTTGCATGGATCGGAAGCCGCTTGGAAACAGTGTGCTAGAGATTCCGACTCTAAAAGAAGGCGGTTGCTTGGTGAGCCTCTGCCTTGGGAGTCGATGCCATGCTTACCTTTTTCGGCAGGCGGTAACATTTGGGAGGGTACAGCGCTCTTGACCGGCATCTCATGCCTACTGGTATTGGTTCGAGTGACGTGTTGAATTCTCGCACTGTCATCGACAGACCTGAGAGTTCTGTTCAAAGTTCCACCCAGCAGACTCCTGTCAGGAAGCTTGTGTTGAAAGGTTCTCGACGTGAGCTTCCGGACGAGGACATCCGTAGGGTGGCGTTGCTCAAGCTGCAATCTTTGATACTTGAGTGATCAGTTTGCCACGCAGTTGGGTACCAGCTTGGGAAGCCTTTTGGAGGATGGATTGAGTCACGATGCCACAACTCAGTCTTTCGCTGATTGCTTCCGGATGAAGGCCTCTTCGACCTTGCAGAAGCGAGCAAGTTCATTACAGCGTTTGGTAAACATCCTGGCAGGTCTTGGTGTGGATCGACCTTTCGGGCTTACCGAATCTGAACTCTATGCGGCGCTCTGCGAGATGCGGGCTACAGGAGCTGGTGCAACGTCTGCCCAACACATCATTGAGAGTTTGTTTCAAATTCCTGCTTGTGGATATTAATGCAGTGGTCTCAGGCATGTACTTGGGCAAGCATCCTCTGTCACAGAAGTTTCCCTTGAGTGTCTTTCAGGTCAGGATTCTGGAGGAAGCCATGAATCACGAACCTTCCTTCGTGCAGTGCATTTTGGGTCAACTCCTTTTCTGCATTCACGCATGTTGCCGTTAGAAGGATGCGCAAAGACTTCGGAAGCTAAGCGTAGAATTTTCCGAGGAGGAGTCTCTGCTATATGCTGACGCCATTTCGTCCAAAACCTCCCTCAGCCTAGATGCGAGAACACGCTTTCTTCCGTACGTCTAGGTCACGGGGTGACCGGCAAGGACTGGGCTTCACGATGGCTTCAAGCAAGGCAGGCTGAGCGCCTCGGTTTTGACGATTGCGCTCTCCCGAGCTTTTCAGAACGGAAAGGTTGCTGGGTGTCAGCCCCGATGAGTGCCTCCGAGGGCACCTGCTGGTTGCGCGAGGTTTTGGGCAAGCGCATGTCAGATTGGGGCCCACGCAGCTTTGGATCGCACGCTGCAAAACGACTCTTCTGACCTGGGCAGGTAGGTCTGAACATCGTCTTCACCCCTGCTGAGAGACGCCTGTTGGGTCACCACCTGGATCCGGGTATGAAGTCTGTGGCAACGTATGCTCGCGAATCTTATACAACTTTGTATGCAAAGGTATTGCAGATGTTTGTATTGATCAGAGCTGGTATGTACAATCCTGACCTACCTGCTTTGGACCGGGTATTGCGTATTGCATCATGTGCTGGACCTGCTCATCCCGTTCTGCAACAACCTGACCCTGGGCAAGCGGTGGCAAACTCAGATTCGGAGTCAAGTGTTGCTTCGGATGCAGGCAATGGCTCTCCCGAAGATGCAAGACTTCCGGGCATAGATGCATTCCCGGACTTTCCACAGACCCCTGTTGAGGCCATGGTTGCGCACAACTTGTCTGGACTGGTTCATGTTGTGAACGAGGACGATCATTTCATTTGCGGACGTAGGTTGACGGGAAACTTCAAATGTTTGAAAGACTGCCTTGTCGACATCGGGCTGCTTGAAGGTTGCTCGCAGTGCAAGAGAGTGTATCAACGAGAGATGTGAGTGCTCGGATACGGTGTGTTTCACTTTGCTGTATGGCGGTCGAGCCTGAGGCTTGGCCGCTGAGTCGTGTGATCCTGAAAGGATTGCCTCTCAAACCTCGGTTCCCGAGCGGTGCAATGCATGCTGGCAGCGCCTAGCCAGTGATCCATGTGGAAAGGTGAAAACCGACTCGGATCTGGCCTGTGGTGTTTGTGGGTACTTTGCTTGCGCATCACATCCATGTGGAAAGGTGAAGGCTTGACTCACTTGCCACAATCTTGGGTGGAGCATGTGGTGCTTGACACACACTTTGTGAGTGCGCCGTTTTTCATCGTTTTGTTCTAGGAGTACAAAGTGCTTGGGTGCCGCAGTCCCTATCTGCCCGCAGCAAGAAAAGCTTGCGTCGGGAGGGAGCCTCTCGGCAAACAACCCGCAGCATTCTTGATGCTCAGTGGCAACACGCACTTTTGTAAATCGTCAGTGAATGCCGGGTTTTTGAGGAAGCTGATGTGGATAGCTCCCTCTTGTTACAGGACTTCAGCCTTTTCCAGTTTCTTGGGTTCGTCTGTGCAGCCATGGCTTCTTCCTTGGAATCAGAAGCGGCTTTCGTTGACAGGGCTTCCAAGATAGGCGTGGAAGAGTGGATCGTGGATAGGCTCAAAGCAATGCAACTGGCTACATTTGGAACTTTTGCGTTTGCGGTGGCATATTTGCCCCAGTCTGCGAATGACACGATGTTCAAGGAGTTCGTGGCGGATTTGCTGCAGGCAGAATCTGATGCCAGCCAGCTTGCAACTTCGAGGCGGTTATTCTTCGAGTGCCACACCAGAGCTCTGGTAGATGTCCGAAGCCGTGTTGAATCCAACGCCGACCCCAGTGCGACCCAGCAGCATTTGCCTACAGCTGAGAGGGTGGCGCGGCAGTCCGCCCAGGAGGCCAAACTGGGCGGGTTGATCTTCACCCGGATACGATTCTTGGAGATGTGCGAGACTGGTATTCTGGTGTACGTGAAGCCTGAGCTTTGCTGCAGTCGTGCTCAGGAGACGCAGACCATGAAGAGAGACAGCGCTATCTTGACTGATGCCTCAGGTCTGCTCAAGATTTCCCCGAAAGTTCAGGACCCCAGGTGCAAGGCTTCAACCAAACTGAAGCTACGAGCTGCGCTCCAGCGCCGCAGCCTAGCTATGGATTTGGCGGGAATTGCAGAGTTTACGGTAGTTGAGGCTTGGGTGCAGTTTCTCTTCACTCATGTGGCTCGTGAACAGCCCCATGGATTCAACAAGGTCACTTTGCAGCAGTTGGTGGAGTGTGACAAGCAGATGTTCACTTTGTTTGCAACGTGGTCCTGCCGATCCAAAGCCTCTTGATGAAGCTATTCAGGCGTTGAAAACCTCGCATGAGGTATGAGGTCTTGCAGTACCTCACACCTTTGCCGGCATTTCGTACGCATGAGTCCACTTCGGCTCCTTCCAATCCAAGGCCTCCGAAGATGCCCAAAAAGGAGGAACGCCCGAACAGCATGGGAACGGGCAAAGCCTCAGGGAGCCCGGGGCCGAGGCCAAACCTCCCGGAAGGTTGTGTGGCAACAGATGATGACGGCAAGCCACTCTGCTTTGCGTTTCAAGCTGGCTCTGGGTTGTTTTCACGGAACTATTTTGCGAGTGCAGTGAGGAGCAACGTCGCCTCTGGAACACCCTTGATATGGTCCTTTTTCATGCACGCTGCCATGGGTCTGCACGCAAGAAGCAAACAGCGTGGCTCTCGACGAAAAGCGTCCAAAAGGCTCTTGCTGCAACTTGTGACGACTCACGCCCCCCACGATCCCTGGGTGTGCGATGGACAGATTCAGGTTGGAGCTTTGACACCTCTCAGGAAGCCGCGTATCCGCCCCTGCTTGCCCAATGAGCTGCTGCTTGCATGGTGGCTCACGCTGTTGCCATTGGTTGGGATGTACAGCCACATGCCACTTTGCATGACAAGTCCTCTGCAGCTCATGGCAAGCAGACTAAATGGCACAAGGCCTTGGTGCCTGAGTTCCACCACGTCTCCTTGGTGGTCCCACCTGCGACTCTTCCTGAAGGAGCCAAGCAACTACCTTCATTTAGGGGAGTTGGGTCCAAGGAGAGCACTTCAGAGGGGATTGGGTCAGCGTCCACCAGGGAGGATGCGGTTATTGGCGATGGCTCATGTAGAGTGAAGCTGGGTTTTTACCACACCCCAAAGCAGCTCTTGAGTATGGCCAAAACCAGTGTCCATCCGATGGATGCAGCTGACCATGTGGAGGCGGTCACCAACGAGGCTTTGGAGGCCAACTGGAATTTCCATCCAGACCTGATCAGGCTCGTGGCCCGCGTTTTGCTTGTTGCCCGCCTGTTCAAGGCATTTTCATGCCCATTAGGTTCTCGAATTCTGGAAGTCCAAGGTTCATTTCTAAGCGTTGCGTTTCCTGGTTTGCAGAAACGTGGACTTCACAGCGGTACATCGCATGCTTTAAGACCCTCGTCCAACTTGCGCTCATGCGCATTGCCTGGGCTGCCGGGGCAGACATGCCACAACACAGCCTTCAAGGCGGGAGTGCCTTCAAGACTGAACAAACTGTTTACCACCACCCACATTCCAGAAGACCAGCTCAGCAGGGGCAATCTGGCTGCTTTTTCAAAATAAGCCGCAGTTCAGAGGCGTTTCGCGCCGCGCGATTTTTGGCCATGAGAGGGCTGAACGCGTAAAGTGCAGGCTCAGCAGAAGAATGCAGGGGATGGACGCGCGTTGTCGTCGCTCTTGCATCCTTAAGCCTGGACTGAGCAACGCCAGATAAGGCAATTTGGTCGATCAAGTTGTGAGTTTCCCCCTTTTTATTACTGGTCCCCCCTTGGCTTGAAGCAGCGAACAGGGTTCTAACGCTTGGGAATCTTCAGCCGCGTGGCCGCTTTTGCTTCAAGCCTTTTTTGAGGGACCGGTTTAGAGATCCTCTTCCGCTTTTTTAGAACCGCGCGCGGCAGCCAGGACACTGCGAGGACGCGTTCTTCCGGCCTGTCCTTCGCGTTCCTCTTTCTGCTTCGTGTGGTTTTTTGCGCCAGAGCAAATGCGACGACGCATTCCTCCGGCATGCTTTTTCTGGACTCTCGCGCGGAGCAGGTGTTGCTTCGTGTGAGACACAACATTACAGGACCAGCCGTGGGTCTTATCCTTTGAGGACGCAATCCTCATGTTTCGCACACAAGTTGCACGCATCTGCTGCTTGAAGTGCCACAATACCTCCAGCTCGGTGACACACCCTGTGAGCAGGTTGAACACGCGTTGTTAACCTTGGGGGTATATGAGCAAGAGGGTAGCTTACAACCAAGCAACATCCGTCCAGCCCAAAGCACATATCAAAACCGCCCCCCAACACATACCAAAAAACCAAACAAGGAACAGAACATAGAACATTCCAAACCAACCAACCAACCAAAAACAAGCAAACATTCCAAAGCACATATCAAAACCGCCCCCCAACACATACCAAAAAACCAACAAAAATTAACAAGGAACAGAACATAGAACATTCCAAAGCAACCAACCAACGAAACATTCCAAAGCTTCTTTTCAAAGAGCATGAACATAAATCTTACAATGTTTTTTATTGTAAGGTTTATGGGTTAATCTTCTTCAAAAGGTGGTATTTTAAACACAGGACATTCCACAAATTGATTACAGCATAAATGTTTTCGGTGCCTCTTGTTGTCATACATATATTGTATAACATTGTTCTATCCAAGTTGAATTTCTCGCAGGGCCTCCTGAAAGGATGAACACTTTCTTCCCCACTAACCTTGCTTGTCGTTTGACTGTTCATGTTAGTGGTTTGACTATGAACAGGCAAACACACTTGGGCTTTGAATGTTTTTACATACCGCACACATTTGGCTTAGGGAGGGATGGTGGGTTCTTGTCAAATTTGACAAGAGGATTTGAGAATTTTTTGGGGAGCGGCCCATGGGCGCTTGCTCTTCTCGCCTTCGCCGCGCCCGTCAACAAGCCTTACGAAATTGGTGCAGACTTGTGCGCAATATTTTGTATTTGCGAACTCTGCAGGAACGTTTCCACCTTAGTGGAGTGGTGCTACAGCGCTTCGGTCGTCCTTTGCTAGACCGATTGTCTCGTGTTTGGTTACGCGCTCTGTTGTGAAGGGGGGTGCACGGAACAGAGTTTGGAATGGCTTTCGAACCTGGTATTGAACGGGATGAGTTTCAGGCGTCAGCTGAGACGCTGCATGGAGCTTGGCACTCTCTTGAAAAACAGCAGTTCGACATGTGTGGGAACGCGAAGGTTGGAGCGCTGTTTTCTCAGACAGTGTTTCGGGTACTTCTTTGCCTTCTCAGTTGTTTCCGCGGCAAGCGCTTCCCCCTGTAGAAGATAACGATTCCGGCGAGACCGAGGTCCCACATGCTGCAAAACAGGCCAAACGGTCTTTCACTCAGGTGGTAAAGGTTCGTGACGACCTGTCTTGGTTGGAAGAGCGTGAGGCTAAGTGGCAGACTGCTTTCAGACGATGGCACCGTTTGGTTTCCTCTTGGCCGAACTGCATCGGGGCCGCCGAGGCCTTGCAGAATTGCCAAAGCCTGACAGAGCAGTACGAAGTGTTGGGAGACTACCTCAAGGGTAAATCGCCTGCCACCTTGGAGAAGTGTGCAACATCCATTGCAAACTATTGCAGTTACCTGGATAAACGTGGAGACCTTTTCCCAGGAGATGAGCAGACCCTCTATGCATATCTTTGCGCTGAGAGGACTGCAGGCAGAGCGCCGTCACGGATGAAAGGTACCATGGAAGCCCTGACATTTGTGCAGTTTGTTTTACAAGTGGATGTTGCAGATTTGATTTCCTCCAGGAGATGCCACGAGACAGGCATCGCCTTTTACCTTGGTGGAGCTCAGGGCGCTACACAGGACTCTGAGGGAATGCGGTGCTCGGGATTGGAATGCTCTCATGGCTGGAACGTTGCTTTTTGCAATCTACAGTCGGAGTAGGTGGTCCGACATGCAACGCGCCACCAACATGATCTTTGACAAGGATGCTGAGGGTCGCGTGTGTTATGTTGAGTGTCGTATTGAAGTTTTCAAGAGTCGCGCGGCTGCAGCATTTAAAGGACAATTTTTGCCGGCAATTGCTCCAGCCAAGGGCATTACCGAGGACAACTGGGGCGAGCAGTGGATGCGCTTGCGAGACAACATGGGGCTGACGGTGTCTAAACAGTCTCCGGTCATGCCGGCCCCCAACTGCGATGGAACTGCAACGAAGCGAGCCATCGACACCGAGGAATGCAAACGTTGGATTCTTTTGCTTCTTGAGGGCCCAAACCTGGAAGGACGTAGGCTGACCAGCCATTCTTGCAAGTGCACTATGTTATCCTACTTGTCCAAACATGGAGACAACTGGGAGGACAGGCTCATCCTGGGTGGACATGCAGGCCAGTATGCGATGGCTATCAACTATAGCAGGGACGCTATGGCTAGGCCTTTGCGCATTTTGGAGGCGCTCCTGCTTGATATCAGGGAATCCAGATTCAACCCTGATGAAACCCGCAGTGGACGTTTCTCGAAATCTGCAGCCTCCATCTTGGTGAAGGATGAGAGCGAGAACGAGGACGCAATTGAGGTAATCACGGAGGCGCCTGAACCTGTGGAAGCTGGCCACGTCACTACGTCTTCAGGCAGCTGTGAAGCCGGGGAAGACGAGAAGGGGCCGGGACTGGTAGTGCGCGATTTCACGCCACCGGACGGATTCAACCTCGTCCAGCACTCCAAGCTGAAGACGTTGCACTTGCAGCAAGGCGGACACGTCAAGATGCTACAGTGCGGACGAAGATGTGGTTCATTTCACACGTCGGAGGTGAGTGTCAGGTATGACACCCCTAAGTGCAGCGTGTGCTGGAAAAGCACGTGAAGTGGATCTTGGTATGCACCCCGGAAAAGGGAGCGTTCTGAGCTGTTTCATTGAGTTGAATTTGACTCGTGAGTGGCATGCGTGTGATGGGGGCAGTGTTGTGGATTGTGCATCAGGCTCCAAGACATCATGCTTGGAAATCACCTGGGCACGCAACATGCACGTGCTTCAGCAATCACGCTGGAATCAAGCACTTGCGAACCTTTTTCAAATTTTTTAAGTGAGCCGGTCTTTTTCAAACCCTCAGGAATCAGCCTGGCACCAGGGTTCGAAGAAACAAAGACACTTGTGCTCTTGCAGCGCTGCCAGTAGCCCATCCGTTGTGCCATGTCTCTTACAGAGAGCAGGACTGCTTTCAAACAGAGATGTGAAGCCATTAGACCCGAGCTATTTGCGCATTTGGAGACTCACAGTCTGGACAGCTTCAGCAAATTAGCTTTCG